ATAGCATAGCATAGCATAGCATAGCATAGCATAGCATAGCATAGCATAGCATAGCATAGCACAGCACAGCACAGCACAGCACAGAACAAATCTTTATTGGCCAAGTGTGATTGGACACAAGGAATTTGCCTCCAGTGCATAAACTCTCAGTGTACATACAAACCACAAAGTGATATGTCATAGATCATAACTCATAGTTACAATCATTAATCATAAGATACAAACAACAAGTGATAACAACTACTTATCTGGATATTGCATTATTAGTCTATTCAGGAAGATCAACCAGGTAAGGAAAGAAAGAAGAATATAGTAATCAAATGCAAACTAGGTCATTCACCGTCTTGATCAAAAAGTTCTTCGCTAGTTGTGACCTGCTAAGCCAAATACTGTCTAAAAGTAATTTCTTGGGTCCTTATTACTTTGTTTCTAAGCAGGCCACACATACTAAGTTAACAAGCCCTGAATTGTCTTAAAAAAACCCTCAGCATTAAAAAGTTTGTCTTAAAGCATATATGAGGGAGAGACCTTCAGATCACTCTATACAGGTAGTCCTCACAACAACAGTAATTGGGACATTTCTATCGTTAAGTCATGCGATCATATAGTAGGACATCATATGTGCATCAGTTAGCTATGGTAATCCTGGCAGTCTCTGATTGCAATAGTTAAACAAGGATTATGGGTCATTAAGTAAGGACCTCAGATAACAACAACTTCCTGCTAGCTTCCAATATGCAAAGTCAATGGGGAAGCTGGCAGGAAGTTGCAAACCCTGATGACAAGCCTTTTCTTAGACAGCTTGCAATCATGCCAAAGGGGTTCTTAGACAGCTTGCAATCATGCCAAAGGGGTAAGTGCTACAGAATGAGGGTGGGCAGAGCTTGGGTGCTGTGACCTGGCAGGAGCATGGGGGTTTGTGTGTACTCTGGGTGGGCACACTCTATGAAAGATGAAATTCCTAGGACCTCACACTTCATAGTGGATGTAGGAGTGACCTGTGGCCTTACCTGTCAGCTTTCCCATTGACTTTTCTTATTGGAAGCCAGCAGAGAAAGTTACAGATCACAATCATGTGACTGTGAGATACTGCAACTGTCACAAGTGAAACTGGTTGTCAAGTACCCTATAATGATGTATGAAGATGACCTTGGGAGACAAGGGGATGTTACCTAGGAAACAATTAGACAAGAAGGTGGGGGGACCAGTGGCTTAATGGTCAGAGGATGAAACTTAGGAAGGACCTCCCTTAATTCATCAGGTGGTTAAAAGTACATAGTGACAGGAACTTTGTACCTTCAAACTTGCAATATTCTATTAATACAGCTGTACAATAAAGTAGAATTAGCTCACCTAGTCATGTTCCCTGTCTGGTTTACTTGGGAGGGCTCTCATGCCTGAATTGCATTCACATGACCAGAGCAGCACTGTGATGACCAGAACTTCAAGGCCATCTCGTAAGTATCATTTGTTCAATGCTGTCATGACTTCAAACAGTTCCTGAACAAGTTGTCACTAACCTGTATTTTGCTAACATCCTAGTCATTCTATATTTGCTTTGAACCAGCAGGAAGTGAGGTTCTATATGCAAACTACTAAAGAAGATCCACAAAAGAGCAAAATATTTCTATCAACCCAAGAATATTATTCCAAGTGGGCTTGGAATAATAGTCTACAACATGAGAGGAGAAAATTGTTTTGCTTAGGATGCGAAGGTCTCCCTAGCTCCAAACCTTAAACAGAAAAGAATTGATTCCTAAGAGGATAATGATAAGAAATTGGGCATTTGTGTTATGTCAAGTAACAGCTGAAACTGTGTCTAAAAGATTGTGCAGATTAGAGCAGTGCAGTGCTTTGGATATGAAGGCAAAAAAGGGCTTCACAAAACTCTCTGCAACTCCTTGAAGCAACCACACCTATTTCCAGGATCTGCTGTTGCTGTGTGGAGAAAGCATTTGGTTTAAGGAGATACTACGAGGACTATGTTGATACCCTTGCCTTTCAAAACTGGAGTGCTGCACAACCCTGTGACAGGATATCCTGAGATATCCTAGATTCATTTATTTATTTATTTATTTATTTATTTATTTATTTATTTATTTATTTATTTATTTATTTATTTATTTATTCAATTTGTATGCCACCCCTCTCCGAAGACTCAGGGTGGCTCACAATGCATTTAAAAATAGATCTATGTTGTCAGAAGCTCTTGAGATAAATTTTCATCTTCAAGAATAGAGGTTTTAGGGCTGGCCCTTATCCCCTTTGCTCTTAGTCTTGCAGACATAAATATGAGGATGAGTCTACCCAACAGTTGTCTTTCATAATATTAATCTTGTAGTTAATTGTAAAGGGTACAGAGTGGTATTTTTGAACCTCAACAACTATAAAAATGTTCATATCCCTCTAGCTGGAGAATTCTGGGACTTGAAGTCCACACTTCTTCAAGTTGCTGAGGTTGAGAAACACTGGTTTAGGCTATCAGGTTTCTTCTCCCTGTTCTAGAACAATCTTCATTCAATCTCAGAAAAAAACTGTACAGAAACCTTTTCTGTAGATCAGGGGTGAAATGCTACTGGTTCGGACCAGTTCGCCCGAACCGGTAGTAATAAAAACTACCCATTCAGGCAAACTGGTAGTAAAAAAAAAAATGCTATCAGTTCAGACAAACCAGTATTTCCAATGATCAGCTGTGCCACATGATTTATATTCACTAGAAAGCAAGAAATCTAAATCACGCGGCACAGCTGTTCCCCCCCCCTTGCTATTCTACTTACCATAAAAAAGGCTTCTTAATCCTCCTTTTTCAGTGCTGCACAGTAGCGCCTGCAGTGCGCAAGTATGCAAAGCATGCGTTTGGTGAGCACTGCACATGCACACATGCAGCGAACTGGTAGTGAAGCGAACCAGTATTAGACGTCAGAGCATTTCACCCCTGTTGTAGATGATTATAGAATGCAAATATTCCTGTTTGTAGCTTCTTCCATGAAGATGTAGAGGGAAGAACAAGTCGTCACTGGTCTATTCCCCTTCTGTGCACTGAGTCTAAAAGAATTTGAACAATAGTGATATACAGTATCACACAGCCGTCCCTGTGGCAATTTAAAGCACTTCATTAGTAATGTATCTTCACAGCAATGGCTTGACAATGCTATAAATTGCTAGTGTGAAAATTCTCTGCCCATTAATTGTCATATATTTTCATTCTGTGGTTTAATGCAATAGTGAAAACCTGAATAATGTTAGGTAAACCAGAGAACTGCACGACAGCATTACACAATCTGAATCCAGGTCTTCTATTGCCAGATCACATAAGAGTTTTTTTAGAGATGTCGCATGTCCCTTCCTCAGTTAGAGACTAAAAATCCTGTGCCCACACTGCACAGTCTTAAGGATCTCTCAAGCATCTCTGCTTCAGAATAGGAATCTGAATAATCCTCTAGTACAGTGGTTCTCAACCTGGGGGTCGTGACCCCTTTGGGGGTCGAACGGCCATTTCACAGGGGTCGCCAAAGCCCTTTCTTGCCCCCCCCCACGCCTTCACTCACCCTCACCCTCTGCCTCTGTTGGATCGCCAGTTGCCGTTCGCTTACCCCACCTACTCCCAATCTATTGCTGCCTCCGGAGTCCCAGCTGATGGCTAGAGAGGGAAAAAAAACTTTAAATTCTTGCCGCGGGGCTTCAAAGAGCCGCCCTATTCTCAGCTGTTTTGCGGAGGGCTCTGTTGCTAGCTAGCTGCAAAGAGGTAAATTCCTGGAACAGATTTTTTTTCCCCTAGCTATGCTGAAAAAGCGAAATTGAAAGTAAGCAGGGTCTTTGCTGCAACGTGACAAAATGAGGCAGAGAGATTTCTTTTTCTTTTTCCTCACCAAAAAAGGTAGGTGCAAAAGTGCAAACAATGGGAAATTTAGGGCAAAAGAGGAGGTTCAAGATTTTAAAACACACACACAAAAAAGCTCTATTTAACTAGGGAATTGTAATAATTGAGATACTATTAATTGTATATTGTGTTGAAAGCAGAAATGGTTAAGTTGTGGTTTGGAGGAATATGTGGGGGAAATTATTTGGTTTATTATTATTGGTAAATATAATTAATTGATTTGTAAGAAATTGGATTGCATGGAAATAATTGGAATATTCATGTTCATATTGATTAATATACAAAAAAGATAGTTATATAACTAATTGATTTATATTAAAATGTTGAATTTGTATTGAACAACTGTATTACATAATTACATAATTAACCAATGTGAGGATGGATATAAAAATAGATGACAATGTGAAGGGGTATAATATAGAATAGAAGGGAAAAATTGAATTTGATTAAGATTAGAGATGAGGATGAAGGGTAATATTGGTTTTTTTAAAAAATAGATGAGGAATAAATATGGTAAAAAGGAAATATAGAAATTGTAAATTTAATTGAAATGACTAAACACTGTGTTGGAAGAAATATCCTTCTGGGTTCTGCTCCAAGTGGGGAAAAAGACACTGGAAACATGGAGACTGCTTGGAAAGATGGTTTAATGGTGGACAGGATCACATGATTTGAGTTCCTGAACAGAAAAGGGGCAGATACAGTAAATCCTCGGGTTTTTATGCTCTCTCTGGCTTTGCATTTCTTGGGGCCTCGAAAGAGTATCCTGATTGGTTGTCAGACTCCCAGGGGGTGGGGGTCTTAGCTAGCCTTGCTGGCTGATGGTCACATGTGCTTCCCAGGTCACATGCTTCCCAGGTCACATGTGGTGAGTTTCAGTTGCTAGATGAGGCCCATTGTGTTAGTTTCTGTTGCTATTGTCTTGCAAATGTCCTTTGACAAAGGATTGACTTTCTGCCTCTGGCCCATTAACAAAGGGTGGGGGGGCAGGAAGGTGGGAGCTGCTTTGTCTGTAAAATATGCTTCTCCATTTCTTATCCAGGGAAATATAATATTCTGCCTTTTTAATATTTCATTCTTCTAGGAAAGGGGTGGGTGCTAACCTCCTACAACTGTTTAAATTTGTGAACCGGCCAAATACTCTGTTCAAAGAAAATATGTTGTATGTTTGTATGTGTGTTTCTAATTATTGCTATTTATTGCTATTTGTTCTCTTTTATTCTTTAAAGTTTAACAATTCATTCTTTATCTTAATATCTTTATATTTGTTTGGGGTTGGCTTTCTTCCCTTTCATCTTTTTTATTGTACAGCAATCTTTCTCCTCAAACCTACCACCTCTGTCTTTTCTTTCCTTCTTACTTTCTCTTCCCCCCCCTTCTTCTTCTCCCTACTTCCTCTTCCTTTCTCCTTCTCCTCCTCTCTTCCTCCCTCTCTTACCCTCACTCCTACTCTAATTTCCCTTCCCTTTCTTCATCCCTCTCTACTGCTGTATCCTTTTATGCATATGGACTACTCAGAGGGCTGAAAAAGTTATTTTTGACTGGTCCTCGCACTTTTGACCAATCCTCGAATTTATGACTGTCCTCACATTTTATGTTTTTTGCCCTATCTTATCACCATGGTGAAGAGAAGCAGTTGTGAAATGAGTGACATGGTTGTTAAGAATGCTGCACAGGCATAAATGTGAGGATGGTCATAAGTGTGAGGACCAGTCAAAAGTCCGAGGACCTGTCAGAAATGACTTTTTTCAGCCCTCTGAGTAGTCCCTATACACATAGCCATGGCCATCCGGTCACATGACCAGCTAGCCACGCCCACCCAGTCACATGACCTCCAAGCCACGCCCACAAAATAAGCCACGCCCACAGAACCGGTAGTAAAAAAAATTAGAACCCACCCCTGGTTGGCGGTCACCACAACATGAGGAACTGTATTAAAGGGTCGCGGCATTAGGAAGGTTGAGAACCACTGCTCTAGTATAACAGGGTCTCCAACCTTGCCAACTTTAAGCTTTGTTGGCTGAGGAATGCTGAGAGTTGAGGTCCACAAGTCTTAAAGTTGCCAAGGTTGGAGACCCCTGCTCTATAAAATAGGTTTCATAATAATAATTATTACATGAATTCCACAGTGAATTCACATTGCAAAGCAGTTGAATGGAACAATTATGGAATACTGTATGAAAAGGCTGAAGCTCTGAACTTTATTCACATCATGATTATACAGTAAACCCAGGAAATCAAGTAATCTGTTTACACCAAAATAATATATCTGTATTTCCTGTAAATAGCTGCATCCTTATTAGTTTTCTTTTTAATTAGGTAAGTGCATTCTTACGTCTTAACATTTTTAACAAAAGAGGGGAGAAATCAAAGTGTCAAACTAGTTTTGAAAAGTTTAAACTACTTTTAAACAGAACCAGGGAAATTACAATTTCCTTTAAGTGTCAGTTTCCATATCCCATTCCAGTGATATTCCCAATATTTGAACATGAAATGTAGAATGATCCCCTCGGTTATACCCAATTTAGTTTAAATATCTCAGCGTTCAAAGCAGACAACACAAACAACGAATGGCGA